GTGTGTGTGTGTGTGTGTATGTGTGTGTGTGTGTGTGTGTGTGTGTGTGTGTGTGTGTGTGTGTGTGTGTGTGTGTGTGTGTACACATATAGGTATATATAAATTTTACCTGAAATCCTAAAATTGTGATCGTGTGCGTGAGGAACCCTTTCGTGACGCCTCCGTCTATGAGGCCTAACACAGTCTCTGCACGCTGTTATTTTCCCGATATCAAACACGTTCCAAGTTGTTTTTTTCCACCATAACTTCAAATAGGCGTGTTTTTTTCCCGCCATAACTTCCAAACAGACGTCGTTTTTTCCGCCATAACTTCCAAACAGACGTCGTTTTTTCCACCACAACTTCCAAAGAGATGCTCTTTTTGACGTTACAACCTCATCCTGCCGACAGCCACCGAACGCCATTGCCAGCGACGCGGAAGGAAGGGAGGAGCAAAAAGAACTTCCTTATTATAGACGTCCTCAGCCTTCTGCGCCTCCGCCTCCTCCGCCCTCTGCCCTTCCCCCTTCGTCCGCCCGTATTAAAGGCGGTAGACTAAGGTGCGTTGAAAAGCAGCAAAAAGAAGGGAAATGTGAATGTCTGTGGTTCATCAAAACGGCTATTGTTTTGATTAGGTTAATAGGAAGACTCGGGAATTGCTTAGGGGGTGGAGATGAATATGATTATTATAGTGGTGTATAGCATATGTAGTGAAGTGTATTGTATGGCATATGTAAAATAGGATACCCTGTATAGTATTTTAATGCCTGATTCATTACCCATCCATGCACTTTCGTAAATATAATTCATTCGAAATATTAAAACTCCCCAAGAACACAATGGTGGATTGTGTTCACTTGGATATGGAATGATTTTGAGTTATGAATGTATCTATGCCGTATTCACAATGCTAATTTTCAAATGTCTGTGTGCTTGTATTTGTGTAGGTATATAAATGCATGTACGTATATTTGTAAGTGGTATGTAGGAGTATACATGCATGCCTGTAAATAGGAGAACTAAACAGTGCACTGCCTACAGGAAGGACATGATCAGTGCGCCAACAAATTTCCACCATGTGATGGGCACCGCCCCTTACCACGCCTCCCTAGAGGGGCCGGTGAGTAATTCCACTGGATTGCGTAATTTTGCTTCTCTTCCAATAAATTACCGAAAACACATCATTCATTGGAGATTTCTATGGCACCAGATATTCTTATATTAAAAAAAAAAAGTATATGAAATATCTATAACAACTATTACTTACCAAACCAAAGCAATGTTCCTTAAAAAAAACAACAACAACTGTGTTCTGTGTTACTGAAGAAAGACACACATCTCGTAATCAAGAATAAAATTTACCTCACCACAGATAACCGAAGAAGATGGTGGAGAAAAAAGTAGCTTAGAAGAACGTATAGCAGTCTCAGCCAGATTAGGTCAAGACAGTTCGGATTTGACCAAACCCATAAGGTAAGAAAACAAACGAAAGGGAAAGAGGTGAGAAACGGGTGAGACGCCACTTAAAAAATGGGTAAATGGGGGAGAGAAGAGGCGGAAAGGAGGTGAGACAAAGGTGGAATGGGAAATAAAGAAGGAGAGATAGGGGAGAGAAGGGGTGGAAAGAAGGGTAAAAGATAAAGAGAGAGAGAGAGAGTGGAAAGAGAAAGAAAAGAGAAGAAAGACTGATAGAGGGTAGACTAAAATAATCAAAGGAAATAGAAAAAAAAGGGAGAGGGGGAGGGAAAGAGGGAGATGGGGGAGAAGTAGAGAGAAGGAAGGAGGAAAGGAGAGAAGGAGAGGGAAAGAGGGAGGTGGGGGGAGAAGGAGAGAGAGAAGGAAGGAGGGGAGGAGAGAGAGAGAGAGAGAGGAGAGAGAGAAGGAAGGAGGGGAGGAGAGAGAGAAGGAAGGAGGGGAGGAGAGAGAGAGAGAGAGAAGGAAGGAGGGGAGGAGAGAGAGAGAGAGAAGGAAGGAGGGGAGGAGAGAGAGAGAGAGAGAGAAGGGAGGAGGGGAGGAGAGAGAGAGAGAGAGAAAGGAAGGAGGGAGGAGAGAGAGAGAGAGAGAAGGAAGGAGGGAGGAGAGAGAGAGAGAGAGAAGGAAGGAGGGAGGAGAGAGAGAGAGAGAGAAGGAAGGAGGAGGAGAGAGAGAGAGAGAGAGAGAGAGAGGAGAGAGAGAGAGAGAGAGAGAGAGAGAGAGAGAGAGAGAGAGAGAGAGAGAGAGAGAGAGAGAGAGAGAGAGAGAGAGAGAGAGAGAGAGAGAGAGAGAGAGAGAGAGAGAGAGAGAGAGAGAGAGAGAGAGAGAGAGAGAGAGAGAGAGAGAGAGAGAGAGAGAGAGAGAGAGAGAGAGAGAGAGAGAGAGAGAGAGAGAGAGAGAGAGAGAGAGAGAGAGGAGAGAGAGAGAGAGAGAGAGAGAGAGAGAGAGAGAGAGAGAGAGAGAGAGAGAGAGAGGGAGGAGAGAGAGAGAGGAGGAGAGAGAGAGAGAGAGAGAGAGAGAGAGAGAGAGAGAGAGAGAGAGAGAGAGA